GATTGTACAAAACAAATAATTGACAATTTATTTGCTTTTTACCTTGATAACAGTACATAGTACCGAATAGATAAACTTCACTTGGTGTTCCTAGCAGAGTGATAGCTGATAAAAACGAGACCATGATACTAAGAGCTGTTGGAAGTACCTGCATGTCGAATAAACAATCAAGACAAGATGATATTAATTAAGTTTAAGACTTACTGCCATACCACCATCAGCTACAATACAAAGAATATACTTGTATGCTTTTCAAAAAAAAGTTATTTAAGTTGATTACCTAGAAGAAATTCTTTTGCTGAACTCTTCTTAGATTTGAAAAATCCAAATATAGCACCAATAACAGCCGATGAAAGAAGAAGTATAACAAGAAGAACATAATCAACAGCGCTCAATGTTCGTGTTGCCATATTGTTTCTAAAAAAAAACAAATGTGACGAAAAAAATATTTGTCTTTTATGCTTTTTCTCTTTCTTCAAATACTTAGAGAATTATAAAAAACAAAATAACAATAACATTCTCATACACAATCGTAAAGCAAAAGATAAAACATACGAATATCTCTTTCTTTTTTCTTTCACTTGAAAAAAACGTAGCAAGGTTAAAAGAATCACACCATCCCCTGGTAGGCTGTGACGATCTTAGTGTCGATAGAGAGAATATATTAAATCTGTTTTTATGATGAATACTCAACAAATATCATATATACATAAAAGACATAATACTTTTGCTTTCTTTCTTCTTGATAAATACTTTCATAGCAATAGCTGGTATTTTTCACTATTTTCATATATATAAATCACTTTTAGTTTCCATAGTGACATGTCAATATCTTTCGGAGAATTGTGATTATTGACAAAGCAAAATATTAATTGACATCATCTTGTTTATTACATACTTGAAATCAAAAAAAGTTCAAATATGCTATTCTCTTATGTTTACGCAAAACTCTCTCGAATAGAGGAATATTGTTGTTTTATGATATTACTTTGAAAACTGATAAAATACGATAAGATATCATTGCTCTGACGCATGTAGCCGTTGAATACGCTTTTTTAATGATGAATACAAATAATGCGCAATCTGAGAAGTGACTAAAAGAACGAAAGTGCATTTCTATTTGATTAATATATTTATTTTGATCTTCCATCGTGAATTAAGCACTCCATTGGTATAATTGAAATGAATTTGTTTTATTTAAAAAGATCTGTTTTCGAATAAACTGTTATTTCTCGTTCGTACAATCAATAAAAAGAAATAAAAATAGGCTCTGCTATAAGTACATTTCTATAGGTGAAAACGAAACAAGTCATATATATATCCCATTATTTATTTGGAGTATTTAATTCAAATCTAAATAGGACTTTGAATAGCTAATGAAGTTCTTTATCAAATACACTTCATATCAAAATTTCATAGATGACGTATGGGAAGAATATTTTTAAAACAACTAAGCACGGTAACTTTCAAGTCTCAGAAGACTATGTAAAAATTACTTTTTAAGAGTGTCTTCTTAAAAAACAACATGTTATGAATAAAACTATGGTTTACAGTATTTTCTACGACCTTTTACTTATAAAGTTAGAAGCATACAAAGAACAAAAAAATGCGTTTTTCAGGAATACTATGATCAATTTTTGTTTTTCATTTTTGTGATACTTATAACTTTTCAACGACAACTTATACTAAGTGCACCAAGCCGTCATTTTATTCATGAGGGTGTGGTCTGAAAGTCAGTACTTAAAAAACTAAATTTCTACATAGTTCTCTAAAAATTGAAAACTACCGTGTTTGGTCTTTTAAAAACTTTCCTGTCGTAGTTCTTCTATGTAATTTCTGTATGGAATGCATTTGATAGAAAGTTTCATTCGTTATTAAAATGACTATTTGGATTTTACTTAAATGCTTGGTATCATGAGTGTGACGTATGCACAAAAGAAGATCTACGCTCACACCTAGGGATGTCGGCTTAAAACTAGCATTGCATTAATTAATGCTATTTTTAATGCTTTGGTATTAGAGTTAAAACAATAATTTAATACTTTGGTATTAGTGCTGAATTAGCATTAAGATGATGCTATTACCTATGATGATTATGTAAGTCTTTTTTAGATATATTAATTCAGTTCTAGTTAAGGATGATGCCTGTAAATTTTTGAGGACTATCTGGAGACAATGTCTCTAGCTGTTTGAGGGCTACTTGGGAGTAGCACCTCTAACTTTTTTAGAGTCAATACGAGTGATATCTTTTCCTTTCCAAGGGCTACGTGAGAGTGGTATCCGTACCTGTTCTAGAGCTATTTGGAAATAGTGCGGGTAATCAATGATTACCGAGTGTGCTTTCTATGAATTGTCAGTTTCGGTTACTAGAGATTTATGTTTCCATCTAACAGAAAATGTATAAGTTATGAGATTGATTTTTTGGTCCAAGAAGATCTGGTTTAGGATATTAACAGTTTTGTATAGAACTTGATAAAGACTTTTAAAGTTGAGAAATTTGAGTTGACCACTGGCTTGTTGAAACTTTGAAGTTTATTATCCTCAATAGGGTGTGGGTGTGAGCCTGGATATTATTTTCAATTACACACACACCCAC